CATTTTCTTTGTGGACCCTTATGTCATCTGCTAACAGTTTTATTTTTTTCCCTTCCAATCTGTATGCCTTTTATTTCCTTTTGCCTAATTGTGCTGCCCAAGGCTTCCAGTACTATGCTGAACAAGAGTGGTTAATACAGACACCCTTGCCTAATTCTCAATCTTGTGGGGAAACGTTCAGTCTTTCATCATTAGTACGATGTTAGTGCTGGGTTTTTAATAAGTGTTTTTCTAATCAAGTTGAGGAAGTTTCCCCCCATCCCTAGTTCTTTCTGAGAGTTTTACCATGAATAGGTGTTGGATTTTGTCAAATGCTTTTTCTGTACCAATTAATATGATCATGTGATTTTCCTTCTGTAGCCTTTTAATGTAGTTGCTTGCATTGATGAACTTCAAGTAATGAACCAGCCTTGCATCTCCGGAATAAACCCAGCATTCTATCTGCTAATATTTAATAGAGGTTTTTTTCATTTACATTTGTGAAGGACATTGGTCTGTAGTTATCCTATGGGGTTGTTTTTTTTTTTTTTGTACTATCTTCACAAACTGAGATGTGAAGTATTCTCTTTTTCTGCTTTCTGGCAAGGATTATATAGAATGGGTATCAATACTTCTTTAAACATTTGAAAGAATCTTCCAGTCAAATTATCTGGACCTGGAGATTTTTTTCTCAGGAGTTTTAAAATTATGACTTCAATTTCCTTAATAGTTATAAAGTTATTCAGGTTGTTTATATCCTATTGGGCGAATTGTGGTGGTCTGTATTTATTGAGGAATTAGTCTACTTCATCTAAGTTAAAGAGTTGTTTACACGATTTGGTTATTATCTTTGATGTCTGTAGGATCTGTTGTTATATCCACTGTTTCATGTCTGATATTAGTACTTTGTGTCTTTCTCTTTTTTGATAGTCTTTCTAGAGGTATAATTACTTTTATTGATCTTTTCAGAGAACAAACTTTTTTGTTTTATTTCTCTGATATTTTTATGTTTCCAATTTTATCAGTTCTTCTCTTTATTTTTTCCTTCCTTCTACTTAATTTGAGTTTATCTTGCTTCTCTTTTTCTAGGTTTTTAAGACAGAAGCCTAGGTTATTACGTGAGACATTTTCTCTTCTCTAATGTAAGCATTTAGTGCTAAAAATTTCCCTCTCGGTGCTGTTTTAACTGTGTCCCACAAAGTTTGATATTGTATTTTCACATTTATCTCATTCAATGTCTTTTTAATTCCCCTTTAGATTTCTTTGATCCTTGGCTTACTTAAAGGTGTGCTATTTATTTTCCAATAACTCACTCGGTGAAGATTTTCAGGCACAGTATTTTGGTTTACCATTTTTATCATCTTCTTTTCAGCTGTTGATTTCATAGTGAGGGTGGGTTGGAAGGAAACCCACATCTTTATCATTGAAAGAGCCCAGAACTTTGTCAGCTAACTTGTGTTGACATGGAAATCTATGTGAAACCCCCAACACACACACAGGAACATACAACAACCTGCACATGAACACACATACACACATACACACACATATACCCATGGCATACTTATACCCACACCTAACCAGCAGAGCTCAAATTCTCATTGTCAAAAAATGAGGCCAATAGCAGATACCACAGTAAATAAGAAACAGGAAAAGGAAGCTATTTAGGAAGAAAAAAGAAGTATTCAATCAGCATTGCATCTTTAAAAGAATTAGGTCAAACCAGAAACCTCCAGCGGAAATAGAAGAGACATTTCAGAGTCTGGGTTGACTGTAGACAAGCTGAATTTCTTGTATTTCGGCAGCACCTGTCTTCCAAGTCAACTTCTTCCCCACTTCCCACCATCATTGTCCCATCACAACAAGGTCAACCCGACTAACTCTCCTTTGGAAAACTGAAAGGAAAAAGGACACTATACTTAAGACAACAATGGAATAGAAATTCCAGGAACTAGCAAGGTATCAAGAAGAAAGAAAGCTACGTCCTGCGAACCAATTCATTGTCTGACAGATAATAATGTCCTTCTCAAAGGACGTGCACTGAGAATCATAGACGTATTATATTTATGTTTATATGCACTATATATAAATAAGTAAGTATGTTTATGAAATCTTCCCCTATCCATTTGATAACTATTTCTGTCTTTGAGGTTTTATGGTTTCATTTATTGCATTTCAGTCTACCTAGAACTTCATACGGTTGTAGCTTTATAATATGTTTACATACTGGCAGTGTCTAGGGTCCCCTCAGCAGCTAAGCCATGAAACTGAATCTTTGGGCTCTTAGCTCCAAAATTCCAGAGCGGGAGGCAACTTCACCTCCCCGTATAAGCTAAGGGCACCCAATCAATTTAGACCAGGGTTTCTCAACCTCGGCACTATTGCCATTTTGGTAATTTTCTCTCATGGGAGTTTGTCCTATTTGTCAGCATCCCTGGCCTCTACCTGCTAGATGTCAGCAGCCCCCACAAGCTATGATAACCAAAAATGCCCCCTAGACACCACAAAACTGTCCCTAGTGAACGCCAGTTCTTTAGACATATGCCTCTTTATTTCCTGCTCTGGATACTGTGCAAAGCCATGATGTTTGGTGCCCTAGCAGCCATCTTGCAGTCATGAGGAATGATACTACAGAGGTGCTGAGGCCAGTGCAAGAGACTGAAGGGGCCTTAGTTCTTGATGACATTGCCGAATTACTGCACCAACTCTAGCATTACCTTCCTATAGGAAATGAACAGCTTCCACCACTAGTGAATCCAGTGATCTTTCCATCCTAGTGAGTCCGCTGATCACCTTATTCCTCTGCTTAAAACCCTTCACTAGTTCTCCATTCATGATGAATTTCAGACTCCTTAGCTTGGCACCCCAGAGCTTTTGCCTCTGTCTCCTGCTCATCTCCCACCACCCCTCTCCGCACTTACCTTCTCCTCTTGATCCATAAGTAGAATCTTTTGAACCAGCCCCGAGACTTCCTGTCTCCTGGTGTTTCCATGTGCTGGTCCCCGAAGGCCACATCCTTCCTCCTCTTCTTTCTCCGTTCACTCCTACACACCTTTCAAGACTTAGCCCTTGTCATCTCCTTCAGGAACTTTCCCCTGAATTTCCATGTGGTGGTTTCAAAGCATGGACGCCAGATTATTTGGCACTCCTCCACTTGAGAGTGACCACATGTTTCCTTGGGCAGGGTTTGGACTTTTCATACTCTGGACACTGAAGCAGGGTGCTAACTGACTAATGCAGGGGGAGGGTTACTCAGTGACACACAAGGCGACCTTTGTGATAAGGGTGTGCAGTGCGTGAAATGAGCTAGTTAGGGCTGAAGGCACGGGGCAACCCAACTCAGCCCAGCTAGCTGATGCTGCTTATCTTCCCAGCCTCACAGCCGGATGTCCTGCCTCTCCCACCACACACCTTTCCCACTCTGAATCACTGGGCAGCCCAGGATGTGCACTATTGCATACGTGTTCCCCTGCACCTGGCGTTTAGCCCCCTTTCCCTGCATAGCTCCTGCTCATTCGCCTCCTCCAGGAAGCCTTCCTTGTCTCTCCAAGGTTTGTGTGCCCAGAGCTGTCCCTCACATCACACTTACCACACTGCGTCTTAATAGCGCATTTCCATATCTATAAGCCCGTGGACATCTTAAGGGCAAGGAATGGTTTATTCCTTTCTGAACCCCCAGCACCTAGAATAATGCCAGGGCTTGCTGCAAAAATAAATGTTCACTGCTTTTTGTGCCAGTGGTATGGCTGACTGTGTTTTCTCTTGTCCTCCATTCAGTATTTATTGAGATCTGACCCTGCACTGCAGGTACGGCTTCCTGCCTTGCATCTACTACCATCATCCAGGAGGTTGGAGCAAGCAGCTGTTGAGCACTCGCTGGGCATTGCCCTAAGGACCCAACTCATTCACTTTAATCCTCATAATGAGTCAGTGAGGTTGATGCTGTAATCATCTTCAATTCACATGGGGACACTGGGTCACCAAAATTACATGGGCACTGAACTCCTGGAGTCCAAGTTTGAACCCATGCCGCCTAACTCCAGAGCCCGTGATATTAATCTCTACACTGCCTGACTTCCTTCTGAACCATCCAGACACTTGTCACAGATGCAGAGGCCCAAGTCCTACCAGAAGAGCTTATTTCAGTAGGTCAGGGCAGGACCTGGGAAACTGCGTTCATTGTGAGCCCCACGTAGTGCAGAAATGATGCCTGTGCCTAAGAGCATCAAGCAAGGCTCTACAAGGTCTGGCCCTGAAGCGCCTGCCTCATGGCATCACATCCTATACTCCCTCTTCTCCTGACTCCTGCAGCCTCTGCCAGGAATGCTGTCACCACCCTCTCCCACCCAGCTGTGCTTGAGGAGCAATGGAGGGAGTGAGAAGAAGGAGCCCTTGCTGCTCAGGAGGAGCTAGAAAAGCCCGGTGCCCCAGGACGTCCCCACACAGCCCCTCCCAGGGGCCCTGGAGAAGGTCAGGAGGCCTTGAGCTTCTCAAACTCTTTCTAGTCTTTGGTGTGATCAAAGAAGTGTTCATATACTGAGATCTGGGGAAGTCATTCTGGCTTATACCTGAGTTAACCTGAGTTTTCTGCTAACTTTAACAGCCTGTTTGTGGCCTATCCAACATACATTACACACGTGCTTTAATTGTTAAAGAAGAGGGCACGGTGACCAGAAGTAAAGAATGTCCATGTTAAAAATAAAGATTAAATGCCCCTCTACCGGGACGCCCGTGCTCCTTTGATGATAAGACTCCCTTCCCAGGTGCCAAGGCCGCACTCTAAGTGCTGGATATGTGCAGCTGGTCTGGGTGTTTTGAAACCTTAAAGAAATGTGTCCCTGACTTGTTTCATGGTCTTTGTTCTGACAAGATGTAAAACCTGTGCTGAAAACCCTGCTTCTCCGGAGCAGTTTCTGAGAATAATCCGGGAAGCCGGCTTCGGGGCTAGGCCTCAATTTGGCTCAAATAAAACTCTTTTCTATACTTACTATTGATTGTTTATTGATTATTTTCTTCAACAGGTGTTACCAGGAACATCCAGAAGGCACCATCCAGAACCCTCCATACCTTCAGGGCACACCCCCAGGGTTTAGTTCTCTAATCCAACTCGTGCAGCCCTGGGAAGCTTCTCACAGACAAGTTCTGGTGATACCAGCAGTGTTTGCGCTGCCGGGGACGGGACCTGCTGGGAGCAAGGCAGCAGTGGAGGCAGGGGCAGCCCCGGCCAGTGCCTGTGTTTCCCCGACTCTCAGTGGGAAAACCGTCCAACCAGGCCTGTACGTGGTCGGGTGGGCAGAGCAGGCTTCCAAGGAGAGGATCTCTCTCGGGGAGTCAGCATGAAGGTTGAAGGTCGAAGGGTGGCCACATGAAGACTTGGCAGAGCAACTCATCTGTTTTCGCTAATGAGCAAGGAGGCCTGCCCATGGGGATTTCCCAGCCATGTTCAAGTGGAAGCCAAATCAAGTAGGCACCTCTGTTAAAGCCACATCAAAGGTATGTTGCTGGAGGGTTAGCAGGACTCTTAGTGGTGACTGATGTCATGGGGCATCTGAGAACGTGGGAAGGGTGAAGGTGGAGTGGATAATCAGGCTAGGGAGTTCCCCCAACCAACGTGATATGTTCTGACTATTGCTGTGTAAGGAAGCACCCTCAAAACCAGAGGCCTAACATAAGAATCATTTTATTATAGCTCGTAATTCTGTGACTCAGAAGCTTGAGCCGCACTCAGCTGGGTCATTCTTTTTCATGTGGTATCAAGCTTGATGCTACCAAGCTGGTGGATGGGCTGTTCCAAGGCAGCTTCCCTCACAGGTGTGGCCCCACCAGAGAAGGCTGGGGAGCTGGGCTTAGCTGGAACTATCGGCCTCTCCACGTGGGGCCTCACCAGCAAGGCAGCCTCAAGGAGTTGGGCTTCATAAATGGTGGCCCAGCTGAAGGCTTCTAGGCTTCTTAAGACCTAGAAGTCCCAGAATCTCACTTCAACCACCTTCTGTTCATCAAGCAAGTCACCAAGACTAACTCACATTCAAGCAGAGTAGAATTAGAATTTGCCTCTCAGTGGAAGGAACAGTAAAACATTTCTGGTTCTGTTTAATCTCCCATACTACAGAAGAGCTGGGAAACACTTGTTAGGCTCATTGTGGGGGGGTTTACTTGACACATGTTTGTCAAGTTTCTAGTGTGTTCCAGGCTCTGTCCCGGGCACTGGAGAGATGGAGTAATGAACAGGACAGAGACATGGTCCCTGCCCTCTGGAATGAAGTCTGACAAACAGTTACACAGTACCTGACATCTGGGGATTGCCAGTAAATGTCAGCTGCTGGGATTTTAATTGTTAAGTGGATCATCACTGGATAAAAATAATGCATAATAAGCCTGAGCAGAGAAATGCTTTGAAGAATGACAAGGTGCCAAAGAACACAGCCAGCAAAGAGCCTGACCTGTTCAGGAGAGTGAAGTGTAAGCCAAGGAGGAGGAGTGATGAACTAGCGGGAAAGGGAGGAAGCAGCCTGTATGGCCAAGTGCAGTGGGCAAGGGAAGCATGCACTGAATGAGCTGGACAGGGAGGGACCACCCAAGGCCCTGAGCTGGGAGTCTTACCTCATCCCTCCAGTCCACCTTCCACCTTCCCCGCCTGTGCTTCTGAGGTGCCTCTGAATGGGCTGCATCCACAGCCTCCCTTGCCTCCTTGCTGGGGTCAGTGGAAGGCACCAGCAGGAGTCTGGGTGGAGTGGGGTTAGAGGAGAATGAGGTGGCCATATTTATTCCTTTGGCTCCCTCCCTGCTGGGCAGAGCATGAAGTGAATACTTCCTCTGCCAAAAGCCACGTCCTGTGTCCAGCAACCATCTCCTAGGACCAGAGATCTCACCAGGGTCTTCAGTGGCTCTTTCTCCTGTGCCTTCAGGCCTGGGATCGGTAGCAGCTGCCCACTCTTGCTGGCCCAGGAATACTTCACCATTGCTGCTTGCATTCCCTACACCATGCCCACACCTTTGTAAAAGTCCTTTCCTTGCACTGTCCTCAGTCACCCTTTTGAGAAAGCCATCTGACACTTCCTGGAATCCTGAATGATAACACCAGCCAGGGATAGGAATTTGAGACTTTATCGCAGGAGCAAATCTAAGAAAATCATTACCTTCCATCCACTGGTGTGCTGGTAAATTTTAACAACCAAATCTTCAGAGGGAAAAGCTCTGATTTGTAGTGATTGCCAAGTTTTGATAAATACTTCCACCGTGATTGATTTCAAGCTACCAATGTGACAGCAACCAGCTCAAAAAATTCCTAAAAATAAAATGCAAGCTGATACAAGCCAGCTCCAGTATACCTCTGCCCAGATCAAACACTAACTCTGGTCTCTCCCACGTCTAGATCCACCGCAGCCAGAGACTGGATGTTCCAGCAGAGAGGTGGGTGGGCCTGGATGCTGTCAGCCTCCTCCCTCCTGCTCCCTGGGAATGTACCTCCCAGTGCACCCAGGATGCAATCTCTGAGGGCTCCCAAAGCTGGAAGACCTTCCGTGTTCTATGCCTATGCCTGTTCTCATGTGCATGGGGCTGAGGCTCAAACATAACCATCCATCTTGCTGGACTTGATCCAATTAGATCATGAAACCCTGGGGATCTAGGGTCAGCAGTTCCCATGTTAACAGCAATTAATGTCTGCCAAGAGCCCCACTCTGATGCTGGTCTCTGACCTGAATCCCACTTCCCTGTAGATGGGTCCAGACACAACTGTGATAACCAGGCCCCCACCCACCTTGTGCTTTATGCAGAACTGAACTTCCCCTTCTGTGTGTCGAGTCTGTGTGAGGCTGGAACTCAGTCCCACCTTTGCCCAGCCTGACCATTGTTTTAGAACTTTCTGTTTAAGGCACGATCATGAATTGTTTTCACACTGAAACCAAATATGAGGAAATGTGAAATGTTGGTTTCAAATTGTGTGTTAATATTCAGGGAACAAACATCTGTTGAACACTTGCTATATGAGTCCTCCCAATAATTATTGAGAATTAATAGCTTGTTAAAGAGCAATTACACAGACACACACACACGCATACACATGCACAACTGGACAATAAATCTGTAGAGAAAATTCCCAACACAAAATAACAGAAGATTTGAATCAAAACAACATGCTACAAGTATCCTTTCAGAGTGACCAAAAATTTTAAATTTTTGGTAGTACCCGATTTTGACCAGGTGCATGGAAATGGGAACTCTTAAACACTATTAGGGAAGTGTAAATAAATACAACCATTTTAGAGGGCAATCTGGCAATACTTACCAAAACGTAAAATTCACATCCCCTATGACCCAGAAATCCACTACTTCTAGAAATTCACCCTACATAAATATCAACACCAGTACATCAAAGGTACGTGTAAATTAATGCTCCCTGCACCATTGTGATAATTTTTTAAGTGGAAAGCAAACTGGATGTCCACTGACAGAAAAATAAGTGAAGTATGACATGACATTGCAGTGGAACACTTTCCAGCTGTTAGAAAGAGTAAGATAGGCTTGGGAAGCCTTTCATGCCATTTTGTTTAATGGGGAAAAAGGAAAAATCAGCGTGCACGATAGAATTCCATTTTTGCAGAGAAAATCAACAGATTTTCTCTGGAGCCGGCAGACATTACTGGTGGAAAAAGCAAATGGTGCAGCTCTGTGGAAAACAGTTTGGAAGTTCCCCCAAAAGCTAAACATAGGATTACCAAACAATCCAGCAGTTCCACACCTAGGTTTCTACCCAAGAGAATTGAAAAGACACATCCACGCAAAAACTTATACATGAATGTTCAGAGCAGCATTCATCACAGCCAAAAAGTGGAAACAATCCACATGTCCTTCAGTTGATGAATAGATAAATGAAATGTGTTTTACCCATACTGGAATGTTACTCAACCATAAGAAGGAGTGAAGTACTGATACATGCTACAACATGGATGAACCCTCAAAATATTACGCTAAGTGAAAGAAACCAGACATAAAACGTCCCATATTGTATGGTTCCACTTATATGAAATGTCCAGAATAGACAAAACCATAAAGATGGAAAGTAGATCAGTGGTTGCCAAGAGATGGAGGGAGGTAGGGACTAGGACTGACTGCTAACAAGTATGGGGTTTCTTTTGGGGGTGATAGAAATGTTCTGGAACTGGATAGTAATGACAATTGTATAACACTGTGAACATGCTAAAAACTACTGAATTCTGCTATTTAAAATGGTAAATTTTATGTTACATGAATTATTTCCATTTAAAATCATCATCATACATAACTGGTACATTAATCAAATATAATTTTGATAAAATACCACTTTAAAAAACACATCATTTACAATCCCTTCCAACTCCCAAACTATCTGCCTCTATCCTGGGTGGAACCCAGGGGCTCAGATGACCCTAAGTTGTCAACCCCACCTTCCTGTAGAGACAGGCTGGGTGACCAGCTCTTCTCCAAGTGACCAGTGATGTAGCCGGTTCTACATGGGATCTTGGGTGGAGTTGGGGGTAGGGGTCAGATGAAGCCAGGAAGCCTGGTGGTGGGAAAAGAAAAGATTAGCAAGGACTCCCCGTCTCCCTCTGTCTCCTTCTGAGACTGCACAGTCGTCTTCCCTGCCTTCCTCCAGCTCCTGGGCAGGGTAGGTGTTTCAGTTTCTATGAGCAAAATACGAAACAAAGAAGCACCATTTCTGCCTCAAGACACATGTAAAGAGGTGCAGATATAGGTGAGTTCCTTTACAAACATTTCAAACACGTGTTTTCCTCTATTTTTAATAGCCTACATCGAGAGTTCTGAAACTCCAGGTAGGTATCAGAACCACGTGGAGAGCAGGTAAGTAATGTTGATTCCTGAGCTGTCCCTCCAGAGGCTCTGGTTCCCTGGGTGTGTGGGGGGGGGTCTCTAAAACCTGTGTTGCTAAAAAGTGGGTCTGTGGACTGTACTCTGTCTAGAACTGCCACATACAATGCTTATCTTTTCCTTGTGTTAAGAAAGTAGAGGTGTTTATTTGGTCATAAGTCTTTACAT